TTTGTCGCGCTGCTGATGACGTCAGGTACGTGCTTTAATCGGGCGCGCTTTAGTGGACCGTGGTTTTGTTGTGCCACGGAAGTCTTTTACTAACGTCCTTCAGGAATTTCCTAGTAATGCCCTTGTTTTGGGAAGTTTCTCCTTCAGTTGCAGCTTTACAGAATTTCTTCTGCCTCTTTAGTATTTGGGGCCATGATATTCGCTCGGTTACCAAAGGCTTCAACTGAACATTGATTGTTTGAGAAGACAATTGAAGCCTTATTGGGGGGAAAAAAATTGAACCTCCCCAGATTCCCCCTCCAGGAGAGAATATCTTGTATTCTCTTTGAGATCACCCTCCCCGGGACTAGAGACTTCTTCATCTTTGGTAACACCTACCAGCCACGTAGGCAGCAATGGAAGCAATCAAGGGTTTGCCTAGGATGCCACACATGGAAGGCATGAAGGTGGCAATCAGGAAGACGTGCAATGCCAGCGCCACCAGAGAAGCCATAATGAGAAACACACGGGTAGCTATGATGTAGCCTGCAAGCAAAGTTATAGATGCAAAAGGTTATGTCTGTTTTCAATCCTTATTGCAGTAATATTTGTTCGTTTTGTTTATTTATTAGATTATGCCTTTATTACTTTATAAGTAACTTGGGGCAGTGAACATACATAATGCACCTTCTCCCACTCCCTTGCTTTCCCGGCAACAACCACTCCATGAGGTGGGTTTGGCTGAGAGACAGAGAGCATGATTGGCCCAAAGTCACCCTGCCAGTTTTTATGCCTAGTGGGACTAGAACTCACCATCTCCCAGTAATTGGCCTGGAGTCACCCAGCTGGCTTACTTGCCGAAGCTGAGACTAGAACTCATGTTCCCCTGGTTTCTAGGCCAACGTCTTAACCACTGTGCCAAACTGGCTCTCAATATATCAGAGCATCCTCACCCTCAATAGATAGCTTGTTCAGAAAACATTCCAGAAAGGGAGCCACCAAGAGGGGCTCATGGCCTCATCATTTTGCAACTAGAGTACTGCAATTCACTCTAGGTGGGTCTGACTTTGAAGATTACCCAGACATAACAGTTGTTACAAAATGTAGTGGCCTCAGTACTGGTGGTTATTGCCCACTGAGAGGCATTACACCTATGCTTTATGCCTTACCTGGGTTGCAAGGTATACCTGATAACCCAGTGTAGTCATGCTGTCACATGACCATGGCAATGTCTTCGGACAACATGCCTTGCTCAGCTATGAAACAGAGATGAATACTGTGCCCTACAGTCAGATACGACTGGACAAAGGAAACCTTTATCTTTTTGAGTTACCAGGAGATTAATATAAGATTTATGCACACAATAATGTTGGAGATGACCCAGCTGAGCCTGAGGGTGGGATCAAATGTGTCATCAGTCTTGAATCCTTTCACCCCCTCTCCCACAAGAGATCTAAATCCATCCCGCCTTGAATTCCTTCTACCTTACCTACCACCAATTTCCTTTGGCTGTTAGCCGTTCAGATTCTTGTAATAAAGCTTGCAATAAATCTTTACATCCATTTGAGCGGTGGTGGTGCAGCGGTTAGAGTGCAGTACTGCAGGCTACTTCTGCTGACTGCTGGCTGCCTGCAATTTGGCAGATTAAATCTCACCAGGCTCGAGGTTGACTCAGCCTTCCATCTTTCCTAGGTGGATAAAATGAAGAGCCAAATTGTTGGGGGCAAGAGGCTGACTCTGTAAACCGCTTAGAGAGGGCTGTCAAGCACTGTGAAGCGGTATATAAGTCTAAGTGCTATTGCTATTGCTATTTGAACTGTCTATATCTCCTGACAAAAAGACACAATACACACAAATGCTGATGCTCCTTATTGGAAATTCTTAGGGAAAAAAAAATTGAAGGCCTTCCTGCCATGAAACTTACCAAAGGCATTCTGTACAGCAAAGCATTGGCTTTGGATTAATCCAGGGTTAATGCAGTACTGCCATAGCCCACTGTGGGATGTCCCACCAGGACCAAAAGATACTTTCCAGTAATCGGTGCTGAGCCCCATCAAAAGTAAGCTGATGCTCATGGATGCCATCAACACGCTTAAGATACGGCAACACAACATCCTGAGGCAAAGACAAAGGTGTTTCAACAGTCACTTTGATGGGTATCTAACTTTTAGAAATCCTAGAGGGGAAAAAAAAGATTAAATGGAGACAACTTAACCCCAGGAAACGAACATGGAACAGCATTAGAAGGACTATATGTGAGTGTGTTTGTGTATGTGTTTCACTATTTATTGTTCTTTGGTGCGGAAGAGTGTGCTGAAGGCACTGAAGTGGAACAAGAGAATTATTGAGGGCTTCGCTCCCCCCCCCCNGTGGTGCAGTATAATAACAGACCAGTACTTCTCAAAGGTGGCTGTTTTTAAGTTATGCAGGCTTCGACAACCAGAATTGCCCACCCACCCAGCCTGCTGGGAATGGAAGCCCACAGAACTTTAAAAAGTGGCCACATTTAAGAAGAACTGGCCTATGGATTAAAATGGTGGAGTTTCGGAAAACACTGCTGTAGACTCACCAGCCAATAGAAACAGTGGGAAAGTGATCCATCCAGAGTAGAAAGACCATGCAAAGGAGACTTGAAGTTGTGGTGATGTCTTCTCCTTCCACGTTTCAGCTGTATACACAGCTAGGGCTATTAGAGTGAAGAGTCCTTTCAAAAAAGCAGAGAGAAGATCAGTGCTGGTTAACACAGCTCTGTGCTGATTCACCCGTGAGGTTTTTATTCCCCTCTTTGGTTTGCACATACACTGTGAAAGAAATGTTTGTGGACATCAAGTGTTTATGACCCTGAATTCACACCTTATCCTGCGTTCGCACATCCCCCTTAGCCTGACTCAACGCATTTCCTGAGTTTGCATGCTCCACTGAATCATGGACTAATGCAAAAGGCTGCGAATATAACTGCTACTGAGTTTACACAACATGCTAAGCCACATAAAACTGAGTTTTCAACTAAGTAAGCCTAGAAGGTTGTGCAAATGCATTTCTAGCCTTTCCCTGACTCAATGTATTATATCAACGTAGCCGAAGGATTATAGTCACCATTCTCTGAAAGCTCTTTGCTGTGTCTGCTTTCATTTTCAGAAGATTTTTGAAAGCGCTAAATCATATTTGTGAAACCAGTTTCACTTTCACCAGGTAGATAATCCCAAATAAGATACGAGTAGGCCTTGATTTATGACCATTCATTTAGTGACTGTTCAAAGTTACAGTGGCTTCGGAAAAAAGTGGCTTCCGTCTTCACACTTACAACTATTGCAGTGTCCCCATTGTTACCTGATCACGATTCAGGCCCTTGGCAACTGGCATCTATTTACAATGGTTGCAACATCCTGGGGTCACCCTCCGAGAGCTCCCCAGCCAGTGTCCAACAAGCAAAGTTGGCGAAGCAAAATTCACTTAACAACCATGAGATTTGATTAACAATCATGGCAAAAAATGCTGTGACTCAATCACTCTTATCAGTTAGTCCCACCAAATGTGGTTTGCAGTGGTGCAGTGGTTAGAGTGCAGTACTGCAGGCTACTTCTGCTGCCTGCCAGCTGCCTGCAATTTGGCAGTTCAAAATCTCACCAGGCTCAAGGTTGACTCAGCCTTCCATCCTTCCGAGGTGGGTTAAATGAGGACCCAGATTGTTGGAGGCAAGAGGCTGAAGTGGTATATAAGTCTAAGTGCTATTGCTAAATTCAGTAAGTTAAGGGCTATGCATAGCAGCCTTTATTACTAGCTTTGGTGGCAAAGGCTCTAGGCTTCTTATGGCCCTTTCCCTTTGGGGCATCTGCAAAAAATATCCTATGTTAACTCACTTTGGACAGCAGTTTGGTCTGATGGATTAAAGGAAGGGATGTCACCCTCTAATGCAAGACATTTTCCAGAATGGTCATTCTCTGGGAAACCTTAGCAGGTGAAGTCTTTGGTTCCACCACAAAACCGCGGTAGACTAAAGCGCGCTCGACGAAAGCGCGTACCTGACGTCATCACAGGGCGACAACAGC